GAAACACATATATTTGCTGAAATAATGGGGTTTTGGCAATTCCCATTTTTTTCAACATTGGTAGAATATAAGAAATAATGACTTAGACTTCTCAGGATTGGGTGAAAATGGAATATGCCATTATGTTGACTACAACTGAAATTGCTTTTTTAAAAGTATTAATTCTCTGTTGACTATATATAATTTTATCTATTCTTATCTACCTATATTCTTTATATCAAATGTCAGGGTGATTTCAGATGGCACAATGCTATCCTGAGGGCTGGTCCCCATTTTGAAATATAGCAGCCATCTGTTAACTTGAATTGTTTCACATTAGAAACCCATATTTTTCCCTTTTTAAAAGCTCGACAAAAAGTAGGCAAAAAAAAAAATATCAAATCAATCTCCATGAAGATTGAATTACAGGTAAACCTCACTTGTCAACCATCTTGTTTAGAAACTCTTCAAAGTTATAATGGCAGTGAAAAATTACCTTTTCAACCAGTCCTTGTATTTATGACCTCTGCAGTGTCTCTATGATCCTATAATTGCCATTTGTATGCTCTGCAACTGGTATTCAACAAGCAGAACAGAGAAGGTGGCAGTAAAATTGGAAATTACAATCACATAAGGTCTCACTTAATTATTGCAGCAAGTCATAAATCCATCATGGTTACACAATATTGACCATGATTCTAAATAATGGAGTTGACTGTCCCAATTGTGGTTGCTAAGCAAGGACTGCCTGCATATAATTTAGATACTGTTATGAAGAATGCTACCTTATAAAAGCAATGAAAAAGACAGAACCACAGGAACATGTAAGGTATGGTTTATCTGTTTATCTTATACTTGGCCTCTGTGGATAAATGAAATAATTGATTTTGTGGGATTATTAAAAATCTTGAGTTCCTAATTTGCAGGAAGATGTGTGTATATTGCCATAGCAACAAGCTCTTCAGATTTTTTTTTGAAATTAAATCTCATAAATGTATCTTAAACTAAAATGTAATGTAATGTAATGTGTAAAATGCCAATTAGGGGGAAATTTTCTGTACTTATTAAAATGATAAGCAGCGGATGAGAGGTAAAGATTATTCTGCAGGAAAACAACAGGGTAACTCTTGATTTCCAAACTAGGTTTCATAAGATTTGCTGTGGTTGCTTCTACAGAGGTTCTGTAACCAACCTATGATGATTTCCTAATATTTTGGCAGTGATATAATGATATTGTGAAAGTTGGTCAACATTTGTTAGCCATTTTGTCATGTTTTTAGCTAAGAGAAAGAATGTGAATGATAGGATTATATTGTTTATCACAGAAGCCTCTTTATGAAAGGGAGTTGTTTGGAAAGGAGGTTAGTCTGTAGAATATTTATCTCATTACTGAATATTGGTTCAGGGCACATAATCTAATTATCTCACTACTGAATACAGGGGCATATGATCCATTCTCCCAAATTAAATTGCTATGTTCCTTCAATATTCTGCTCCCTCAACTATTTTTACGATGTATTTTTGTTGGATTTTTGCATCCTACCAAGTATTTCTTCCCTCTGGCAATATAATCATGACTCCAAAGTTGTTTTTGTTGTTTGAAGTGGTGGTTTACCCTGTAGTCTCAATCACTTCCTACATAAACTAAGACAAATTTAGAGAAATTTGGGAGATATGGTCTAATATCTGATCTAAATAACAGCTTTGGGAAGGGTGACCAGTAACCCAGCTTCTAAATGGTAGCTCCAAAGATTGCAAATAACCACAATCAAATTCTGATGGCCTATTAAACCACACTGTGGTCTGGGTTATTGAATGGATCCCTGAAAGTTAAAAAGTCAATAATAAATAAATAACTTTAACGTTTCCCGTTTTCAAAACAACCCAAATCAATCTTGTCCCAATTCATTGACCAGGATTTACTTCCACCAGCTCATAGCATAAATCAATGCTTCTCAACCACAGCAACTTCAAGATGCATGGACTTTTAATTTCCCATCATTCTGGCTGAGCAAATTTTGAGAGTTGAAGTCCACATATCCTAAAGTTGTTGAGGTCAACAAAATCTAGTATAAACCATTTTTGTTGTTGTTGTTCCCAAGCTAAAAATTTCCTAAAAATGTTTTAGGAAAAAACTATCTTTTAGTGCATGCAGGTAGGTTGGAAATCCCAAAGGTGTTTTCTCCTTGAAGACGTTTTGCTTCTCATTCAAGAAGCTTCTTCAGTTCTGAGTCAGAACTGAAGATTTGCTTCTCTTGGATGAGAAGCAAAACGTCTTCAAGGAGAAAACAAAGTCCAGTTGCCTTTGGAAAAAGCACCTTTGGGACAACCATGACCTGGATGACTGAGAATCTCCACAGACATTGATTGGAAATGTTACGTTTGCTGCCCACCACCGGCGCTGCTCACACTTTATGCAATGTATGCAGGATTGCTGTTCCAGAGAACAATATTCTTGTAAGTTACACTAGAAGCAAAGTGGTGGTGGTGTTTTTTCACCGAGCTGACCGAATGGAACCAGTTGCTTAGCGAAAGCCTTCACAATTACAATAGTATTTATATTATAGTGTTGGAAGAAATGTCCATCTGAGTTCAGTTCCAAGTGGGAAAAAGACACTGGAAACATGGAGACCACTTGGAAAGATGGCTTTTAATGGTGGACAGGATCCCATGCCTTGATGATGTTGGGTGAAAGAGAAAAAAAAGGGAAGAGATGCTGAGAGTGCCTGAGTTTTATACCCTCTCTGGGCTTTGAATTTGAGTTTGTGTTCTGATTGGTTGTCAGACTCCCATGGGGCCATCTCTGTAGGCTGTCCTGAGTCCCAAGCTTGGTTGAGCCTTGCTGGGTGATGTAATCTTCCCAGGTGCCATGTGGTGAGTTCTGTTGCTAGATGGGTAGAGGGCTAATCCTACCTTTGTTGGATCTTGGGTGAGGGCATTTACTATGAATAGACCTAGCTATCTCTTTAGTGTGGATATCTGCTGTGCGCTATTGAAGGGGGGGGGGGGGGACTATTCAGAGTGAGTCAGTTTCCTGCCTAAAAACATGTTTCTCCACTTCTCATCCAGGGAAATATAATATTTTGCCTTTTAAACATTTCCAATTGTAGGAAGAAATATCTTTTTGGGTTCAACTCCAAGTGGGGAAAACGACACTGGAAACATGAAGACTGCTTGGAAAGATGGTTTAATGGTGGACAGGATCACATGGTTTGAGTTCCTGAACAGAAAAAGGGCGAGACGCAGCAAGTCCCCGGGTTTTATGCCCTCTCTGGCTTTGAACTTCCTGGGGCCCAGAAAGAGTATCCTGATTGGTTGTCAGACTCCCAGGGGGTGGGGGTCTTAGCTAGCCTTGCTGGCTGATGTAATCTTCCCAGGTACCATGTGATGAGTTTCTGTTGCTAGATGGGTCCTATTGTGTTAGTTTCTGTTACTAGATGGGTCCTATTGTGTTGCAGATGATGGTCCATTGACAAAGATTGAGTTTCTGCCTCTGGCCCATTGACAAAGGGTGGGGTGGGGGGCAAGAAGGTGGCAGCTGCTTCATCTTTAAAACATGCTTCTCCATGTCTCATCCAGGGAAACATAATATTCTGCCTTTTTAATATTTCCCACAATATTTCATTCCTCTAGGAAAGGGGTGGGTGCTAACTTCTTACACTAGAATATTTCATTTTCCTAGGAGTGGGTGGGTGCTAACTTCCCACACTAGGCAGTACCTGAGAGTAACAAGTGTACAGCTCTTTTTGCATAGGACTGTGCTCTTATGAACCACCCTTGCATATCGGTCGCATTCTGTTTTTGCACTCAAGTAAATTCCTCGGACGTCATCGTTCCATCAAAGGAACGAATAATAATAATAATAATAATAATAATAATAATAATAATAATAATAATAATAATTAATAATTATTTTGGCAGCTCAAGAACAAGCCCTAGCCACAAACTGTATGAAGGCAAAAATTCAACATGTTACCACCAACAGCAAATGCCGCCTCTGCAATGAAAAAGAAGAGACAGTTGACCACCTGATCAGTGGGTGCAGCAAAATTTCACAAACTGACTACCTACAACGCCATGACCGTGTTGCTAAAATCATTCACTGGAAATTGTGCCAGAAGTTTGGATTTGAGTACAGCAAAAACCACTGGGAACATCAGGTTGAGAAAGTTTTAGAGAATGAGAAACTCAAGATCTTGTGGGACTTTAGGATTCAGACTGACAGGCACTTGGTCCACAACACACCTGACATAACAATAGTTGAAAAGAAAAAAGTATGGTTCATTGACATTGCAATACCTGGTGATGCACGAATTGAAGATAAGCAGCAAGAAAAAATCACAAAGTACCGGGACTTGCAAATTGAAGTTGAGCGACTGTGGAAAAAGAAATCGTGTGTTGTCCCAATTGTAATTGGAGCCCTCGGAGCAATACACAAAGGGCTACCCCACTATTTAGAAATTCTAAATTTGCGGGACTTGAACATTTTGACTCTACAAAAAACCACCTTACTCGGAACAGCTTACATCCTCCGAGATACCTTAACAGTTCCTAGGTCCTTGGTTAGGACTCGAGCTGCTGAGCTATTAACCAGCCTCAAAGGCTGTGAATCTCACTAAAGATTAACCAATAAATAATAATAATAATAATAATAATAATAATAATAATAATAATAATAATAATAATAAACAAAACAACAAAAACAACAACAACATGACCAAGGCAACGTCAGGGGAAGAATCACGAGATGCCTTCAATCTCAGAACGACGCAGCGGGAAAAAGCGGAACGTTCTCTCGCTTCCACTTCTTCCTTCAGGAAAGCAACTTCTTTGTGACGTCAAGGGCGGGAGGCATAGACGCGCCCCTTCCCCTCCCCTTTTCTTTAGCCGACCGGTCCGCGCGACTCCCAACTTTCATCCCTCTCGGAGGTTATGAAACGCACTTCGCTACGTCTATTTCGCAGTGGGGGCCGGCCGAAGCTGGCAGCCAATCGGCTGGCTCTCCGACGCCATCACACGGGGCTGCTCCCGATTTTATGTAATATTCCGGCCTGTGGGGGGTGGTGGAGGTGGTGGTGGGGATAATTTACGCGCGTGTGTGCTTGTCTGTATATAGAAGGTCATCGGAGCAATCCGGCGGTAGCTGAAGACCGATCCGGCGTAAATAAGACGCTACTGCGCGGAGGCGGAAAAGTTAACTGGTTTGGGGGGCCCTCCTCCTCCTTTTATTCGTCCCACGCCGAGACACTTCCCCCCCCCCTCCTCCGCCGCCCCGCCTCCTTGTCGCTCACTAGAAAAAGGATGCCGTCTCCTCCTGCCCAGGCTGAGAGATCGCCTCGGGCGACAGGAAGGGACCCACCACCCTCGGGGATCAAGCTTTCTCCAGCGACTGCCCATTGATTGATTGGTTGATTGGTTGGCGTCGTTGAATTGCAAGAGTTAAGCCTTTGGGGGAAACCAGCGAGCGCTTAGATGCTCAGGCGGAGAGGGCACCGTCCGGGGGTCTTTTAAGACGAAGGGGTCGATTTAGTTGGTCATTGCATGGAAAAGCAACCCTGGTTGCTGAGCGCGAAGTTGGCCGAAACCGGCGAGTTTGCTTTTGGGGGGCTGGGAATGCTCCAGTGCCTGGAGAGAGAGAGAGCAAGAGACAGCAGCTCTTTTCCTTCGGAAATTGAAGAATTCCTCCAAGGGGGGGTCATCGGGAACTGCTAGGGAAGTTTGTGACTTGAAGAGCCGGCGATTTGCTCCGTCGTTGCTGGTTGGATAGCGAAAAGAAAAAGAAAGAAAGAAAGAAAGAAAGAAAAAGAAAGAAAGAAAGAAAGACAGACAGACAGACAGACAGACAGACAGACAGACAGACAGACAGACAGACAGACAGAAAGAAAGAAAGAAAGAAAGAAAGAAAGAAAGAAAGAAAGAAAGAAAGAAAGAAAAGGGTGTGGGTGGTGGGTGGGATGAAGTTCAAGCTTTGCCAAAGTATCCCACTGGTTCTTTCGGCCGCTTTTCTTTGCTGCTCTTAGGAAGCCGTCGACCTTTGCCCGGTGCCCTCCTGACTCTCCTCGTCTGGCCCGCGGTTCCCGTCCAGTTCCCTTCTGGCAGAGCAAGAAGCATTTTTTTAAAAAAATGGAGCTTTTTGTCTGTCCCTCCTGTCGCATGGTTCTCTGGGACCCGGTGACCGTCTCCTGCGGCCATTCCTTCTGCAGGAGATGCCTGGGCGAAACCTTGCCTTCCGAGTGCTGCCTCTGCGGGGAGAAGCTCGGCCTCCTGGCCTCGCGAACGCTGAGCTCGAACGTCCTACTGGGGAACTTGCTAGAAAAGGGCTTGGATACGGCCGCCAAGGTGGCCCGGTTAAAAAGGGACCTCCGTGAGCTGGTGAGCAAGAGGGACTTCCAGGAAGCGCTGAGGACGCTTCAGAAGGGAATCGGCTTGGGTAAGGTTTGCGTGCTATCCAGAGGTGATGCTTTTAAAGAAAGTGTTGCGAGGTTGAACGAGGGGGCCGAAGGGGAAGGGAGGCTGGGTGATATGCGCGGGACTGACCGCCAGGTGCTCCCTGGTTATACAACTTGCCACCAACCTCGCTGGCTGCATTGTGTAAGCAGGCAAGGGACAATTCTTGGTAGTCCTTTTCACTAACTTCAACTATGGCTTTCCTCCTCCTTAAAAGGCTGGTGATTTTATGGTCATATAAAGGTTTGGGTGTACAGTATATCCCATTTGTGCCTTGCTAGTAGATCTTGTGATTTCCTTCTCTTTTAAAGTGGGTGTGGGGGAGGAGAAAGAAAGTCTTCCTGCTTGTAATTCGTTTCTGTTGCAGATTTTGTCCACAGAAGTGAAACCAAATGCTGCAAATGGGAATGGTCACATCAGAAAATTAAACATAAATCTAAAGTGTGCATGACAATAGGACTGTTGTTTTTGGAGTTATCCCTTAGGGGTCTTTAAAAATTGAGTTATGTAACTTGCTGACTTCCTTGGGGGCCATGGGACTATCTTTAAGTGTTCATGGAGGACAAGAATAAAGCAGAGCAGATCTTTCTAATATTTCAGTATCATTTCTGTAATTTGAGGGTATGAAAGTATTTCTGAAGAAACAACTATGAGCAGTTGTGAGCTTTCCCCAATTATGTGGGAATCTTAACCCTTCAGAGCACCATTCTCAATGTTGAAATGGTTATTGTATGCTGCATGGAGTCTTTATTTCTTTACCATTTACTGAAGAGGCAAGACATTCAACAGATGCTGCTTTCCGATTATGGTGATGTTATGATGATGATAGATATACCAAATTTCTTTTAACATGCTTTTATTAAACACATAGCGTCTTTGTTGGGGAGGAAAAGATGTTCTGTTATTTACCTAGGAGAAATAATCTCATGTCATCTTTAATCTTAAAACTTTCATTAAAATCAGCTTTGGAACTGGTAAACTGAAGCTACTTAAACCTTAGGATTTAGGAATGAGTAATTAGGAATCAGGCTTCCTTTACTGATTCAGACTTTTCTGCGCATGGAACCTGACACACCCCCTCTTATATAGTGCTGTTATAAAATGCTAGTTCTTGTTTTGCAATGAGTCAGACACAAGTGTCGGTACAGGTGTTTCAATCAACATGTGAGTTTATACTGGAAAATTTTCATCTAACCTGAATTGTTTTTTTTACTCCAGTTGGAGGATTCCTTCAATTAATAGGGATAGAACTCAAATCTAGTGGCCCTTGAATTTAATCCAGGTGCATTTATATAACATGGACTGTCAAGGAGCTGATAGATTGAGCAATACTAAACAATGCTTTGGCATTTCAACTTTTTACCATTGATAGTATACTATACTTTTCTTTATAAACACCAAAGCAGATGAGATGAAAATGTGCTATCAAATTAATCTTGTATTTGGCATTAAAAAAAAATCACTTAAAAAATAATTTAAATGATCCATGAAAATGTTTTTTGGAGATTAAGAATGTTTTTAACATTGTATTACCCAAATTCTGAGATACTGTGGTATGGGGTGCTAATACATTCTAAAACCAGACTTTACCTATTACCATTTATAAATATCTATAAACTTTAATCTTGAGTAAGTCCTGCTCATTTTGTATTGATTGACACATAGGCCTTTTTCAATTCTTTTAATTGAAAATATAGAAGGTGATAATATAAGAAAGATTTTGGATGGTAATCATCAATGAAAGTTTAATTATTTAAGCTGTTTATCTTGTCTGCCAAATTCTTATTTAAGTTTATGAAGATAACGTTTGCTGAAATCTAGTCAACTGCAATTTTGCACTTTTTCTCACCAACTGGTTAACATCCATTATACAATGCTAGATAGGGAAAAAAAATCAAGAAATTTTGGACTTAGTTGTGGTCATAAGTCAAGGACTACCTGTACAGGGTCATAAAAAGTAAAAAACACTACTAAAGTATGTGATTCATAACAGATGATAGCTAGCAGACTGAATTGTCTCTTGTTCTTTATTCCTCATTCTCTTAACATCTCTGTAATGGATACTTCTTTGATAGGGGTTTTCTGCCATTGAAAAACTTTTTAATTCTGGTAATCTAGTTAATGGATGAGGCGAGTTCTCTCTTACCATTCACTTCTATCATCCACCATCCTCAAATGATGCAAGTACCATTGTATATGTTCAACTAAAAAACAATAGATCTTTTCCTAAAGCACAGAATTGTTTTTTTGACAGTATCAGAATAAAGCTACGTTCAGGTGATTTGATCTGCCATTTTAACCTACAGATCATACTTGAGGTCATCCTTCTTGTCAGTAAAGTACAAGTAGTGACTTTAAAAAAAATATCTGGCTAAACTTATTGGAAATGAACACAGCTCGTTCTAGTCAATAAGTCCCTTTCTTGGAGATTTTCTTATAGTGCCTTGATGTGTATGACTGTACAATCAGAGGTGGGTTTCAGCAGGTTCTGACCAGTTCTAGAGAACCGGTAGCAGAAATTTTGAGTAATTCAGAGAACTGGTAAATACCACCTCTGACTGGCCCTGCCCCCATCTATTTTCTGCCTCCTGAGTCCCAGTTGATTGGGAAGAAATGGGGATTTTGCAGTAACCTTCCCCTGGAGTGGGGTGGGAATAGAGATTTTACAGTATCCTTCTCTGCCACGCCCACCAAGCCACACCCACAGAACCGGTAGTAAAAATTTTTGAAACCCACCACTGTGTACAATGTTTGTTTTTATTATTTCTTAGGAACAACAGTGAAATGTTCTGCTTCCTCCTACAGCTCCAGATGATCTTACATTGAGGGTGTGCAGATCAGAGCTTTATGTGGCTTTACAGGAGTATGAAGGGGCTCTTGAGGATTTGGAGATTCTGTGCAAGCAGAAGCCAGAAGAATGTGAAGTGAGTAGAGTGTAAAGCTGGGTGTTGTGATCCAGAACAAACATATGCTCTTCCCAACTTTCAAGTGGTGAGATGAAATAGCTTTTCTGGAAAAGGCTACATTTGAACTCAGTTGCAATAATAGTATAGAAAGTGGGCATATTCTTTCATATAGTTGCTTATTTAAATATAAGGTAGGTTTTCCCTGGTTCTGTACAAGCAATGTTGACTCATATGCTCTAACAGAATGATGAAAAAACATTCTGCTGCTAAAATCCACAGAAAGAAAAACTTGAATTACTTCTGGAAGGTTCACAAACTTCAGCTGAATTTTCTCTTGTATGCAAAGAGGAATTTACCAATGTTTCAGTCAATGCCCAACTGCAGACTAAATTTGCACTCTGCAGAATTCCTGGGAAATATTGAATGTTTGAACTTAGATAGTGGAAAACCAGGGAGGTCTTAGTGAATTTTACAAGACTGCCTTGTAAAAATTTCCCTACGTTTATCCATATTCTGCTCCCTGACAATAAATTTCTCTACAAAAATTAGACAATAGAAGTTATTTACTATATGGAATACTATTTGGATAAATTTGAAAGAATTGGTGACTGGAGTTTGCACATCCAATCAGCATAATATTCTAAAAGACAAGTGCTAGTGAGCTGTCCAGAAAATTCCCACTCTATATGTCTACGGGGAGGAACAAGTGATAAAACCTGTATGGTGACATCATGATTGGGGAAGCAAATCTCTAGCCCAACCTGTTCTGACAGATACCAGTCTACTTTGAAGAAACAAATACTGGATGACTGATTTATTGTGGCTTATCCCTCAGTCTGTATCTATGCTAGGCTTGAATGTAGCCTGGAGAGCTCAAGTAGAGAATTTTAAATCTTGATTTACATAGAGACCAAACTAACACTTCTCATTTCTGCTGACAGCCCTTTACACTTTACTGTAACGCTTTACAGTTCCCCAATATCTATAATTAATTCCATCTCACAGGAGGGCCTTTTACTTTGGCATATATGGATGCTTTCCCCACAATGAAACTTGTGGGTAAATATAATAGTATTCCTTACCAAGACCATTTGTGTATTTACATAGACTTTGAAACTGAGATAATAGTGCATATACTTCTGAAATGTCTTATCTACCACGTTTAGCATTAGAGATAATCTTTCATCTTAATTACAAACTATTCAGACCAACCTCAGATGGTGACTGTGTGCTATGTATTAAATCAGAGGTCTTCAAACTTGGCAGCTTTAAGACTTGTAGACTTCAACTCCCAGAGAATTCTGAAAGTTGAAGTTCACAAGTCTTAAAGCTGCCAAGTTCGAAGACTTCTGTATTAAATGATTAAGATACCTCTAGAATTGTAGTCAAGCTTTGTACCATTGCTATGACCGTTCAGGTTTATGGACCTGATTGCTTCCCTAGGTATAATTAGTATGAATAGGTTTTTATAGGATGGTATGTAACTTTGTCTTTTAACTTCTGTATGTTTGGTCTATGATTGATGAGCCTTGGTGGTGCAGCAGACTAAAGTGCTGTTAAGTAGCACCAGCTACTTAACTGCAAATTCTGCAAATTCAAATCTCACCAGGCTCAAGGTTGACTCAACCTTCCATCCTTCCGAGGTAGGTAAAATGAGGATTCGGATTGTGGGGGCAATAAGCTGACTTTGTATAAAAAGAACACCGCTTAGGGGGGGCCAAAAGCCCTACTAAGCAGGTATATACAAAAGTATGAAGGCTATTGCTTAACACATTGTAAGCCGCCCTGAGTCTCCGGAGAAGGGCGGCATATAAATCGAACCAATAAATAAATAAATAGATTGTATATTTTTAATAAACCAAATTCCTCCCCTTGCATATTTTGTGTGGAGAGATGTTTCAATGCAGGTTTAAAAGGGAGAGCTTGCATTGTAGAGCTATGATTAATGTTTTGCTAGTTTGACATCATCATGATTAGTAATTTGAAAATGCTATTTTGGAGCACTTAACATTCTTCAGTTGGCCGTATGTTCAAACTTGTTCTCATATGTTCTCCTACTTTCTTAAAACTTCTGTCTTTTGATATTTGTGTATTCCCAAATAATTTCTGTGAAGGTACTTGCTCAAATATGACAGTTGCTGACCATTTTTTACAACAACCAAAGCACTGATCCCCCCCCCTCAAATGATTTGTATTTGATCACAATTTTGGAAATAAGGATTATATTTTAACACCTGCCAGACTTGTTCTTTTAGGCTCTGTTGAAAAAGCTCTTCAGCCTATGAGGGTGACAAAGCAAGAGCAGAATCAGTGCAATTGTCATTTTGCTATATTTTTGGTATGAACATTTTGAAGAAAGTGGTAATAGGTGTGGAATATTTTTATTTTGAGGAAAGCCAATTTTATTTCCATTTTCAGATGGCTTTTTTTTTTTTGTTTTAGACCTTTATTTTCTTTATATTAAAGTAGTGGGGAAGTTGTATTGTTGCACTAATTGAAGCTATTGAAGCTATTTCATACTTCCCTCATAAATATGCTCTTTTTCTTCATCCTGTTTTACAGTAGGTTTTTTGTTTTACGATCCCTAGTCCTGTGCTCAGAGTAGGTTGATCAGGTGCTGCCACTTATTGAGACTAAAAATAAAGTTTCCTTTGAGTCATACTCATGCCTGTAATGAATATTTTCTTAGGTCTCCCCAGGTCTATTCTAATATATCTAACCAGCATTCTTAGTATCTGTGTAATCCAAAATAAAAATGTTCAGTGAAACTCTCTCTGGTATGTGAATGTGTATGTTTGTTTATATATTGATATATACATATATAAACCAACACATTGGACATTACACATTCCTTGGTACATACAGTTCTGAGATACATGAATTAAGAGTCTACACTTCTGATATACTTTTTTTTGCACGTGAGGGTGCATTAATTCCATATAGCATCCATTCTCAGTAATGCTGGTGGGAAAGAGAGACTTAATGTTTGTCTCACAGATTTTCTGAGTGACATCACTATTTTCCTGCTCTTAATTTTCTTGCTTCACAGGGATTGTGGAAGTTGATGGGAAGAATGATCCCTATCTAATTGCCATTTCATTATTCCAGCAACATCTTTTGCTGTTGCCCTGTTGAAAAATGACAAGTTATGCTAGAAGGAATATAGCTGGGTGATTCTTTGGTTCTGCCACTCATGGAGAGGAGGATTTAAGTAGCAGCTTGCCTGCTCATCAAGAGTCTACACCACAGGTGTCAAACTTGACCGCACCATGTGATGTATCAAATTTTTTGCCTTTGCGGAGCTGGGGTAGGCGTGGCCTGTGCGTGATGCATCCAGCCCGCTGGCCACCATTTTACACCCCTGGTACACTTAGGACTAAATACTTGATTGACTGATTGACTAAACCTGCTGTCATTGGCATCATGCAAAGCAATCTGCAGCTGCTGCAGAATGTTGTGACAGTTCAAGAAGGCAACTGAAATGTGTTTCATGTTTCTTTTCAGGGCTTTTTTAGAAAAGGGAAAGTGCTCTTGGACTTAGGGAACCAACCAGAGGCCCTGCTGCAATTTCAACATTGCCTTACACTGGATTCCAGTTTTCATGCAGCTGAATATGAAATAGAAAAGGTAAGTGCACTATGATGACTAAGCACCTTGAGATTAAATGTTGGAAGCGTAATTGGTTTGCATAGGAAGATGTAGCAGTTTACTTTTGGAATTGATGAAGTTGTATCTACTCATACCTCTCCAATTGGGTATCACTCTGGTTTTCTTTTTAGAAAAGTATTTGTTTCTTTTGAGAATTGTTAAGGATAAAGAATTGTTAAGCTACACAGAAATTAAGATTGAAATGGCAAAATATGATTTGATGTGTCTATGGTTGCACACAGTTTGTCATTTTTGTGTGATGCTGAGCAAAGGTTTACAACATTCCTGATAGGTGTGGGGCATGTTCACTGTGGTCTGAATCACATTTGGGCCTTAGAATATCTATCTAGGTCTTTGCTTACCCCTAATAAATACTGTATATTGTTAGGCAGGTTGCTTCTCTATTGATAAGAGTTATGAGAAGTCATTTCTCTATATAATGCAGTGTCTCGGTCTGAACAACTTTAAGCCAACTGGCTAGGAATTCTGAGAATTGAAGTTCACATATTTTAATGTTCCTAAGATTGAGGAATACTGGTTGGGCAAAGAGTATTTTTTTAAAAAAAAATCATACTGACATGATGTCTTGTCAAGTATAGCATGAAGAATGTGAAGCCTGTATCTGACTAGCTCCATATTTAACCAATTGAGAGACATGAGCCTTACAGACTTCTCAGAAGTCAGATTCTACTGTGAAGATTCTGTCTATGGAGATTCTCGGTCATCCAGGTCATAGTTGTCCCAAAGGTGGTTTTTCAAGAGGCAAATGGACCTTCTGTTTTTTTCTTTCAAGATGTTTTGCTTCTCATTCAAGAAGCTTCTAAGAGCTGAAGAAGCTCCTTGGATGAGAAGCGAAACATCTTTAAAGAAAAACCAGGAAGTCCATTTGCCTCTTGAAAAACCACCTTTGGGACTGTGTTCTCTTTCAAAACCAACTAATGTAAAATCTTTCTGTTGCAGATTCTCACAAACGATGCCTCCCCTATTCCTGGTACTGTTATGGAGTTGAAGAACAAAGGCAATCAGAACTTGGAAGATTGTAAATCAAGGGAACAATTGACTTTTCTTGAAGGTTTTGAAGGCGAAACTCTACCGGTAAGTCATATGGGATGATGACTTACCAGTTCCAAAGTTAGAGATAGTGTAATAAAAATATGTAAAGCTATATACAGAAATATGTATATGGGACATTGGTGAAGGGATTTCCATGTGGATCCTTTCATGTATCCAACACTTCAAGACTGTCTGCTCACCTCTGGTTTTCTCACTTAAAGACATTCTTGTATATTTATCTGTAAACAAAAGAACCAGCTAATGTTTGTAGGGATTGGGGAAGCCTATCTTACCTTTCACAGAGTTGCATTACTTTACTTTTAAACAACATCTGCTTTTTTAATCTATAATAATAAAAATACAAGAATTAAAAATAAACATTAAGTACCATCATGCATCATAGTACAAAAAGCAAAGCAAAGGTGAATCAGGAAATAATTAAAGTGTAGGAAAAACAAAACAACAATAACAAAAGAACAACACAGTTTAAAAATAAAGTTAATGGAGATTAGAACATTCAAATATGCAACAGCATCAGATCTTAGTTCTTCATATTTTGATAGGTTCCAGGTTTTTAGGCTATCATTCAATATCACATTCATATATTTTGCCCTTATTTCTCAGACCACAATTTACAATCCTCTGAATTTTAAATCAAAATGATTATAATGTAGAGAAGGCTCAAAAACTGCAAGCCTACATTCTAAATTATTAAAGCTTTAACCGTTGGTGGTTTGATAAAACATATACTGCAACTCCTTAATCCAAATGGCATGCAAGTTACCCTTATTTAAAGGTAAAGGTAAAGGTTCCCCTCGCATATATGTGCTAATTGTTCCCGACTCTAGGGGATGGTGCTCATCTCTGTTTCAAAGCCAAAGAGCCAGCGCTGTCCGAAGACGTCTCTGTGGCCGGCATGACTAAATGCCAAAGGTGCACAGAACGCTGTTACCTTCCCACCAAAGGTGGTCCCTATTTTTCTACTTGCATTTTTTACCTGCTTTCGAACTGCTAGATTGGCAGAAGCTGGGACAAGTAATGGGAGCTCATCCCGTTACACGCCACTAGGGATTTGAACTGCTGAATTGCCAACCTTTCAATCTACAAGCTCAGTCTTAGCCACTGAGTCACCACATCCCTATTACCCTTATTTAGTTTTGTACAATTTTTCAGTTGTGAATAAAACTAAACTTCAGGAAGTTTAGAAACTTCACATTCAACTAGCACATCAGACCCAAATTGTCCAATTGACAGATGTTTCTGTCGTGTATTCTTTATGACTCCATTGATCTTGTGGAGTGATTAAAGCTACTTTATGTTTGGGTAGAATACGTGGACCAGTAGATATCTGAGAATTTGTAGTGTAAGAAATTTGATTCAAGCTTTATACCATCCCCTTCTTAGGTATGATCACGCTTCATTGGAAGTAGAAAACAATATCTAGAGAAGGTGTCATACCATGTAACTGATTCAAGAAATAATATCTCTGCATGAGTAAAATAAAGCTTGGGAGTACTGTACGTAGTGTTGCCTTTTTGTTTTCCTACCTATACTTGTGACCCTTGGTTTGGTGTTTAACATCTTTCTTCCCTTTATTAAATAGGATACGAAGGCACAAAAAGAAAATTGGCTGGAAGAAACTATGCCTGATCATAGCCAGGCAGCACTTCCCATGTCTCAATGGATGAGGAAGAAGTTCAGATCAGACCTTTCTGCAAATAAAGAAGGTGAGTATATCAGTAAATATTTACAAGTCCATGCTTTTTAAAATAAGCTTCTTATCTCTGCCTAATAATGCCCTAATTATGATAAATTATTTTGGCTCTGTGCTTGAAAATCTTGACCTGTCATTTGATCACTCTCTCCTCCCACCCCCCCTTCCCCCCCAAAACAGGATCATTTTAAGCAAGTACTTTGAGCATACTCCCCAAACCCTAGAATCATGTGACTGTTCTCAAGACCGAATTCCATCACAAGAAGCCCCAAGGAGTGCCTGTTGTATATCAATAGGGGCCTGATTAGATTGCACAGTTTTAATGCTGATCAAATGATAGGGTAGAGAAGGGCAGCCCAGCTTAATGTTAAAATTAGCTACATCACACTCAGTCCAGCATGATTTACGGAAGAGTCCTGCTTCTGTATGTACTGGATCTTTCTAGTGGTTTGGGGCCCCAGCTGGAGTTAAATATAATAATATCCATCCGAACCAGGAGTGAAATCCAGCAGGTTCTAACAGGTTCTGGAGAACCAGTAGCGGAAATTTTGAGTAGTTCGGAGAACCGGCAAATACCAGCTCTGGCTGGTCCCAGAGTGGGGTGGAAATGGAGATTTTGCAGCATCCTTCCCTTGCAACACCTACCAAGCCACGCCCACAGAACCGGTAGGGAAAAATTTTGATCTGAACCTGCACAAAGTGGTATCCCGAATAGGGTTTAATGGCCCAGGATATGTTAGTTTGATTTCTTTTGTTGCTGAACAATTATTTCCAATTTTGATTTTGATTTACAGTCTAATTGGAAAATTTTTGGGATTTTACTGGGAGACAGGAGTGCATATAAAAGATGAAGGCAGTGGCTGAAAGACTCTTCTTCCTTTAATCTCTTTAATCTCTGAAAGGGATTATATACTTAAAGTAACATGTCTGGGCTGCAGGAATAGAGCCCCAAATAGAACACTGGTGGCCAGTGTTCATGTGAAACCAATTGCCACTTGGGATGACACCATAATAGACCTTTGGTCTTAAGAGGGAGGGAAACCCCACAAAATAGCTCCTTGCAAGTATGTGACTTGGTCAGATCTCTGACCCCCAATAAAACAAAAGTAATAAAAATGACCAAAGTGGGGTTCAGTGAGAAGTTGGTCGGTGTGCAAGGTTCATAATCTGACTTTTGCTCTTTCCTTTTGTGAACCAGATTTGGAGGAAGAGGAGGCCTCACCAGAGACTTCAGGAACTAGATCACCAGATATAAAGTCTACGAAAGACTATTGTCCAGACTTCATGGGCATCCTGACTACATCAGACTTGGAATGTTCCCTTTGTATACGGTCAGTTAATTAACAGCCTAGGAATAATCAAGGAGAGAAGTAACCTAGAACTAAGGAAAAATTTCTTGACAGTTACAACAGTGGAGAAGTTCCTCCAGAAGTTGTGAATGCTCCAACACTGGAGGTTTTTAAGAAGAGATTGGAAAACCACTTGTCTGAAATGGAATAGGGTTTCCTGCCTGAGCAGGGAGTTGGACTAGAATATCTCCAAGGTCTCTTCCAGCTCTGCTATTTTGTTAAGAGCTGCTGGGAAAAGGGTTTTGAGGTGCAATGCAAATTGAGCATGAGGTGTCTTCTTATGGTTCTAGCCCAGGGGTGTCAAACTGTCGGCCTGTTGGCCGGATGTGTCACGCGCGGGCCACACCCACCCCAGCTCCACAAAGGGAAAAAACATCACGATATGTCACGTGACGGCAATGTGACGCCGTGAGTTTGGCACCCATGTTCTAGCCAATGGACTTCTGAAAAAGCCATGGGGATAAACTTCTTCCTTATTTGTTTAAGAGTAAAGAAAAGGTTTTGGAACATATTTGTACTTTCTCTTGGTATTTTAAATACATTTATTCTATTTAAAGTACTGTTCAAAATTAAGTATTTTTTTGTGAATAGAAAAATCCTATATCCATAATCTCTATATTCTTACATGTACTAAAATCCGGTGTATATTATAGGACTGCTTGCTAAAGAGCATGCTCAGGTTTTCACCAGTCAGAAATGAGACACTCCTCATATGAAACATGAAGTGGTACACTACTGCATGGTATGATATCAGAAAATCTTTTTTGACTGGTAAAAAAGAAGGGGGGGGAATAGTGATGATTACACACCGAAGTTTTTGTTAGAAGTACAGCTTAGCATTAGAATTTAAAATAATAATTTTAACAATCTAAAGAGTTAAACATTGAGGCATGCTTTATATAAGACTAGCCCAACCATGAAGTTTAGGGATCTCATATCATGAATGTTTGCTAGAAGGCAAAATGAACTTGCTTGCAAAACCCTCCACCGCTGGTTTGATGTAGTTCTTGCCATTTAAATCCTCTCCTCAGTTGTGAGAAAATCCTTGAGACAAGGGGCAAAGAAATGCTGCCTGGTCTGAAATGCAGACTGGGGACTGGAAGATATTAAATGGAGATGCAACCTCAGTGCCTGAACATTTACTGTGGAAAGGCTATGAACAAAAATTAAAACTGGGTTAGAATGTCATGACAGTATTCAATACAATAAAGGGACGGAGTGCCTGAAAAATAAGTCCAGGCAGAACTTAATAAAGGACATCTTTGACCCCTGAAATTGTTATCCAATTGTGCCAGTGTAATACTTCTTGCAGAGTAGTACTACTTTGTAATGAACTGAAATTCGTTTCATTTTGAAGATGGATATTTCAAAGAAAGTAAGAAAGGACGGCTCTTTGGTAGTTAACCTTAATCAATTCCAATCTCTTTTGCAGAATATATTTTTTTATGTGGAAAATAGAAACACTGGCTGTATCATATAATGGTCCAGTGTGATGGAATTGGAGCAATTTGGGGGCTGGTATTAAAAAAAAATAGAGAAATTGTAGAACAATGTTTTTCTTCATATAAGTATTGTAGTATTTTAATGTTAGCATTGGAAATTGCAATCATGTGACCACGTCTCACTGCAATATCATAATTGTGAGCCAGGCCTGCAACAGCCACAATTTTGTGGACTGGTTGTAAGTCCCCCTTGTTCAGCACCATCATAACTTTGAATGGTTGTTGAACAAATCGTTATAACCCAAGAACTGCCTGTAATCATCAGGTGTTTTAGGAATCTTAGTGTTAAGAGTCTTGGCAGCTGATTCAGTTAAAAGTAAATCTTCAAGAAAGATTCACAAAGTCTTTAACAGGATCTATTGAAAGAAAAGATTTAGACTTACAAGAATTTGAGCACTCAACACTTTTCACTTTAGAGCTGATTTATCTTACTTTACATTGTGCTGGAGTCTTTTTCAATTTCTTTGCAACTTCTCTGTTTTAAACCAGGAAGAAGGCATTTATCTCAAGTTAACACAGGAACTTGCTGGTGGCTGTTTACAAAGCTGTCCACCATTGCAAAAATTTTTCTTCTGATCCTGTGAACTGATTATTATATTATGCAATCATATGTTTCCCAAGAACGCAGCATATTTCTCTTGATATTACTGAATTATGATGCAATTGAAATTGACTATATGGACTGGGGTTTTTAAGCTCTCTTCTGCAAAATCCTTGGGTTTGGCAATAACTTGATGGGATTCCACGAGAGACTAAGAACAAAGTTCACTTGAATGCAGTCGCTTTATTGCTAGAACTTTGCCTCTGGATATGGGATTCCAGGAATAATAACAACACAATAATTTTAACTAACAGGCTCTATGGCCTGTGAAAAAGCTAAGAAACACCTGATTTACACTATTAAGTCAATCTCATGGATATTCAAAAATCCAAATAAAAAGCATCTATGACTGTCCTGCAAAAATGGGTCCATTATCTTGCTATTGGTTTTACTCTTAACATAGTATTCAACCAGAATCTTTCTTCCTCCCATTTATCTAATTATTCCATCTTCTGTTCTCTGGGATAGTGGAATACAAATCATTCTTCTAAAGGTTGCCGAGACATACGATAATATTTTTCTCTGGTCATACTTTTCTTTCAAACTAAACGTTTTCAGGTTCCTCAGTTTCTTTTCCTAGAACTTAGTTGCTACTTGCCAGATCTTCCTTATTGCTCTTCTCTGAACTGTTTCCATTTTATCTTAAATCAGGTGCCAGGAATTGGAGACTGTCTTTGAAATGGAGTCTGATCAGAGCAGGGATCTTCTGTCATTTTGAACAGAAGCTTCCTGCATTTACCTTTTTTACCTCTCTGTCAAAGTACTCATTCATATTTAGCTTGTCATCATTTTGCAAGTATCATTACCAAGCTAGGTAATAACATAATTTGAGATCTAAGTGAAAAACTCAACCGTTGCCTCTGTTAAATGTTATGCTGCCATTTTCCATTCATTTCTCTAACCTCTTAAGATTGTTCAGTAATATACTGCTGTCTTGTTAGGTATTGATATTCCCACCCTGATTTGTATAGTCTGTAAATATAATAAGCATTCTTTCCAGCCAGGTCATTAATGAAAATGTACAAGAGTACAGGGCCCACAGCCAAACTCTGAGACATCCCATTGATATCTTACTTTAGTTTGAGGCAGAACATTGGTTGACGAGCATTTCTTGAATTCTTTCCAATCACCTAATGGACAGGCCATCAATCCCATACTTAAGTGGCTTGCTAATAATGAACATGTCAGTGCCCAACAAGAGATGGTGTTTTTTCTCCGCAGTATGTTGTATGAACCTGTTACCACACCATGTGGCCACACCTTTTGCAAAGAGTGTATGGAGCGTTGCTTAGACCACCGACCCAACTGCCCACTTTGCAAGCAAAGCCTGCAAGAGGTAAGAGGGACAATTTTCTCTTCTTTGCTTGCAACTGCTGGGTGCTTTTCTTTATGTAGCCAAGAAAAAAAATAGATGGTAAACCAGTTCTGTCATTCCAGTGCATCTGAAGAATATTAAATTATGCAGTATTTGGAGATTTTGGATTTGCAGGTTGGCATGTTCTTTAGCCTTGACTTTCACTATTGAATGGATTTTTTTTTGTAGTAAAAGTGGCCTTGATTAAGATAAAGTTTCTGTGTTTCTGATGTATATGAAAGCACATCTCCTGGCAGGTACAAATATTACAACAATTTCTATTTTTATTACAATTTTATTGTGATTTTATACATTTGTATATATATTTATGGTTTTATCTTGATGTCGTAAGCCACCCAGAGTCACCTGGCAGTGAGATGGGAGCAAACAAATTTAATAAACAAAATAATTTAGCTTTAGCACTGAGAATGATTTTGTATATAGTAAGTCATAAGAGGTAGCCATAGTAGTTTAGACTATCTCATAAAAATATTAGGCTCCAAGTGTTAAATCAAATAGATTTATTAATTATTGCCAGGTATTAGCTATAGCTATAGCTAATTATAGCTGTAGCTATAATTAGTACAAAACCAATTTTGCATTAGGCATCAGTGACTATTAAATATTGACAGGTGCTACGAGTGCGATTTTCAGAAAATATTTGCAAATGTGACTCAGGGGGTCACCTGAGCCAAAGTTTTATTCTTTGGAAAAATACACCGTTGAAAGGGGATTTCAGATCTATGCAATTCAGAACTGGATTTTGAAAAATCTCTGCTCTTAAAAACTGGCTAAGTCCAGAAGAGGAACTCGGAGAACGGAGTGTCTTCTGCTGAATGCTTTCAATCTTCCATTCTACAAAAGATATACTTTGTGGGACTAAAATATATAAGATATATCTGTAAATATGTATAAAATATATCAAGGTGATATAATTATGAATGTTTGGTTCCTTCCAGTATCTGAAAGCTGGAAAATACAATACTACCATTCTGCTTGAAGAGTTGATGACTACAGTCTTCCCTTCACAACTGGCAGAAAGGAAACTGGTCCACCAAGCTGAAATGGTAGAACTTTCAAAGTAAATATGGACCTTTTGGCTGCATATTCTGTGTGTTCAATCCAAGAAGCAGAAAACCTATTTTAAAGGAATTGGAAAGTATATTTGACAGTTTTATCCAGTTCTTCTTAGAAGTAAGCTTATTACAGTTAGGACAATCGCTTCAGGGCCCATGTTGGCAAGATGAGGTGGTTTCCCTAACTTCAGTTCCCTTCATTGCTGTTTATTTCAATTAACCACAAATAATTATCTCCCTCAGCATGTTTTAGCATTTCCCAGCATTTAAAAAAAAAACGGTGTGTGTTCGTTTCTCTCTGTGTATTTATGCATGCACCTACACAAGGTTAAGCTTTAGATAACCCAAGAATCTGTTCATAACGACCCTGAGTTATTCATCCATCCATCCATCCACTCATTCCTTGTCCACCCTTGTTTCATAATGAGTGCCTCACATCATCATGTCTTCAATTTGTTTTTCTCTCTTGTGTCTTCTGTAATCTGATATGAAGGCTCTAATGGCAATGTCTCCCTATGCCTTATTCCAGGAATACCTGCAAGGTTGAATAAACACATTCAGATAAATGCAGCTCTCTTTCTTATCAGTGTAGGGTCCCAGTGTTGATGAATGTGCCTAGCAATGCTGGAAGGGACAGATGAACTAGATAATAGGTTTATAGAACATGACTTTTGGCAGTTCTTTAGAGTTTATGGAGTAAAATGAGCATATAAATCTAATAAATATCTGGCTTCTTGGTAGGTTCAAAAATCCACATGCATTTTAATCTTTTTGAGCAGGCATGGAGGGTTCATCTGCATGTCCTTGTATGCATGCATAAAAGTTATTCAGTGGTATGTTCTACTCTGAAATCCTCCTGTTGATTTTTCAAGTTCCTAGTAGTCTTTTTGTTGATCATGGTCTTTCCCCCCTTTTCTTTTACAGCCTAAACAAGAATATCCCCATCTTTGTGTGCACCATGTCGTTTCCAGGTCTTGTATGTCCTCTTCATGTGTTTGAACCTCGCTATCGACTCATGATGCGAAGATGTCAGGAGACAGGAACAAAGATGTTTGGCATGTGCATGTATGAAAACGGAAAAAAGTAAGTGATACGAAAGACCGAGGTTGCGACTTTTTAAAACCTGAGTCTACAGCAGAGGTTGAATCCCACAATTTTGGGATGATTGGAATCAACAGATGGAACCATACCAAAAAGAATAAATTTAACTTTTGTTTTCTGAAATTCTATACATGGGTTCTGCTTGGTATTTTGAGGCAGAATGTCAACTTCTGAATTGTAGCTGAATGCTCTCTTCCTCTTCCTCCTCTCCTATAAAACTTAGATTTTAGAGAAGTGAAGAAGAAAACTCCACTGAGTGCCATAAAAATGAAATTGCAAATCAGATTTAATTGATAGATACCAATTATTAGGAGGAACATAATCAGAATCTAAATAAACAAATAGATGAATGGATATTAATAAGTTTTTTTATTGATACTTCTTTGCATGTTAGTTTGCACTTGGTGCTTATCTATGGTAGGTAGAATAGAGATAGTCACCTGGTCTTTCCCTCAATATTGTTCACTATGCTGGCTCTGTCTCTAACATCTGCATATTGAATGCAGTCTTTTGCTCCTGCAGTGTGACTTTTTGTAGTGTAAAAGGAAGGAACATGTGCATCTGGTTGAAAATGTCATTATTTGGGACAATGCAGGAGTCCCAGAAATATGTTAATAGCCTGTTCTTTATATACATTTGCTGGATATGCAGTAAATGTAAAACCTAAAAGGTAGAAGGAAGTTTTTCATGTGTATGAAATGCCAGAGTCAAATGGGTACAAATGAAAGGGAATCTGGATTAGAAAGTCGTTCCAGTATTTGATACTGATTGGATTTTAATTTAATTGCATTTAAATTGTATTCTTTTTGAGTCTGGATCCTCCTATCCCAAGCCATTCAATTCAAAGCATTTGCATAGTAGCATCCCACATAGGATGTGTCAAATTTTTCAACTTTCAATTTCCAAACCTTAGGGGTGCACAAAAATTGTGACATGTCTTGTGGATTGTAAAGATATTTTGCTTACTTTAATATAATTTAGATGGGCTTGGTAAGTGACTACATAAATATCATAACTTTTTAACATTTTGTTTGCTTCATTTCCCACAGGTTACATAGAACTGGAAAAGAAGAACTGTAAATATGAATCTTCTTTCTATCTTGTATTAATAGCCTTGTCTCTTTTCAGCTTTGCTGACTATGGCTGCATACTGGAGATTCAAAAAATAGCATTTTTTCCTGACGGACGGTCATTGGTGGACACTATAGGCAAGAGGAGGTTTCGAGTTTTAAGACGAGGGCACAGAGATGGCTACAACACTGCCGATGTTGAATACTTGGAAGACGAGAAGGTGAGTAGCCCTTATGTGAAGAGTAAAGTCCTAAAGATCTGTCTAAAACAAGAGGAATTATATGCGCTGGGTGTCGTTTGATACAGGTAGTACTTGACTTATGACCACAATTGAGCCCCAATTTTTTTGTTGCTCACCAAGACAGTTGTTAAATGAGCTTTGCCTCATTTTAGACCTTTCTTTCCACAGTTATTAAGTGCAGTTCTTAAGTTAATTACACGGTTGTTAAGTGAACCTGGCTTCCCTATTGAGTTGGCTTGTAGGAAGGTAGCAAAAGGTGATCCCATGACCTTGGGACACTGCAACCATCATAAATATGAGTCAGTTGCCAAGCGTCTGAATTTTGATCATGTGACCATGGAGATGCTGCAACGGTTTTAAGTGTGAAAACAGTCATAAGTCCCTTTTTTCAGTGCCGTTGTAACTTCAAATGGTCACTAAATGAATTCTTATAAGTTGAGGATCGCACGTAATTTACGGGTGTTCATGACTTATTGAGTTTATATTTCACTTTTGCACCAAAAGATGGCATTCAAGGTGGTAATAAGTAAACAGATATTAAAATGAATAAATTTAACACAGCTGAGCTACAAAATAATTGCTTGAACCATGCTTACTCTGTTGAATCTTATAGGGCAGATGGTAACAATTGGAGATAGAATATTTAATTTGACCCTCTGCCATTTTTTTTTCATGGATAGTTTGGTACAATAAATGTATAAAACAAGTAGAAAAACCTATCATATTGATTTATGGGTCTGCGCTTTCAATTTATGGGTCAACAGCTGTTCCACGGTTAGAAAGAAGGAAAATCACTTTTTAAATGTCTTTTCTGTTCTTAGAATATTGCAGCAAAGCCAGGATAATCACTGCATCCCACCCAAACACAGCATTAATTATTTAATTCATTGGTTAAAATAGTCACCTGCCAAGCTGGAACTTTCTTTGATAATGTACTAATACATAGCTTCTATTCACCTTGCTTCTTTTAGTAAGTGAGACTGTTCTTCTGGCAGCTCTCAAATGAGTTCGTGTCTTTCTTAAGAAGACTCTCTTTTCTTTAAAAAAAACCTTGGTAACTGAAATGCATCTTCCTATCTCCTCCTCTTGCTCCTCTTAATGGCCTGTGCACCAGCCTGCCTGTCCCATAATTTGCCTTCTATCCCATCCCATCCCATCCCTCTCTCAGATGTCACTATTGCCAATAAAAACGACTAGTATCTGTTCCTTTTTGCAATGACTTCAGTAGTAGGAAAGAAGGTCCCAGCATCTGACCTGTCCCTATTGTCCCAGCACCTTCCTTTCCCACTAGGCTGAGGAGTTTCCACAAGAGCATTTCCTTCTCTTATCTCCCACCCCAAACCAATTCTGCACAGATTAGCACATTTCATTGTGTGTGTGGAGCAAAACATCCAGGCACATGTTTCAGTTTTGGCACAGACCTCTCAAAACCAGGTTTTTCAAGCATGCAATATTTTACATATCCCTATTATATGGCAACCACATCTGAGTTCTACTTAGTAGTTACATTTTCTCTCACACTCTCTTTTGAGCTCAACAAATTCTTTCATTTTTACTTTCAATATGCTTCACTTTGCTTGTTTTCAACTTCTGACCTTGTGATCTAGATGGAAGGAGAAGAACAGACTGAGCTCCAGAATTTGCATGATTGTACCTATGAGCTAACCCAGAGATTTTATGAACATGGGGGCAGGACTTTCAGACAGCTTGTGATGCAACATGGACCACTTCCAGAAAAAGAGGAAGACATACAGGTATTGAGACTTGTTCTCTCCAGGAATATAAAATAATCTGCAGGGGAATGAGATCTGATAAAAGGGATATATGACTGTCATATAGTATAACAATAAAAATACTCAGATTCCATTCTAATAGAATAGAATAGAATAGAATTCTTTATTGGCCAAGTGTGATTGGACACACAAGGAATTTGTCTTGGTGCATATGCTCTCAGTGTACATAAAATAAAAGAGAATAATTTGGAGAATGTAGAAGAATCCCAGTCTTTGGAGGGTTGCAACTCCTGTGCTCCAGGGGTGGGTTTCAAAACCCGACATTACTGGTTCACTTCATGCTTGTGCGCTGTGCGCTACTGTGCGCTACTTCTGCACATGTGCAGAAGCGTCCGGGTGGGTGGGCAGAGCCTCCCGCTGCTGCTGCTGCTACTGGTTTGATCCGGGGCGAACTGGTATCAACCCACCACTGCTATGCTGGAATGGATTCTATATTTTGATAAATTAGATAAATTAGGTGCCCACAGTTAAGACTTGTTGGCCATTAGTTGATTATGTGCCATTAAGTTGGTGTTGACTAGTAGTTGGATAGATAGACTGTTTCTTAAATACATGCGCCATGTCATATTTGGTGGCTTTCCATGGCTCATTCAGAGTTTTTAAATTATTTTTTAAATTATTATTTTATTAGATTTATATACCGCCCTATTCCCGCAGGACTCAAGGCGGTGAACAGCCAGATAAAACACATAAATTACAAAATTTAAAAACAATATAAAATCTGATTAAATAATTTGGCCCATGACAATTTAAACAACCCCAATGTTTTTAAGACAAATTTAAAATTCATCATTAGAATTAAAAAGGAAAAGAAAAAGTTAGGCCAGGCTGGCCTGTTGAAATAGGAAAGTCTTGAGAGCGCGGCAAAAGGTGCATAGATCCGGGATCCTCCGTATCTCCGGGGGAGCTCATTCCAGATAGCAGGTGCTCCCACAGAGAAGGCTCTCCCCCTAGGAGCTGCCAGTCGACACTGTTTGGCTGACGGCACCCGGAGGAGCCCCTCTCTATGAGAGCGTACTGGCCGGTGGGAGGCTATTGGTGGCAGCAGGCGGTCCCGTAAATAACCAGGTCCTAAGCCATGGAGCGCTCTAAAGGTGGTAACCAAAACCTTGAAGCGCACCCGGAAGTCCACCGGGAGCCAGTGCAGCTCGCGCAGGAGAGGTGTTACATGGGAACGCCACGTCGCTCCCATAACCACCTGCGCGGCCGCACTCTGCACCAGTTGCAGCCTCCGGATGGTCCTCAAGGGGAGCCCCATGTAGAGATCTTGTGTTCACACTCTTATTTTTTTAACAAAAGAATAAGCATATCATAACACATAAATAAATGCTGTGCAGCCATTTGTAACTTGTCCTTCATTTGTCCTTTCTAGAATCTTAATCCTACATTTCTTAATAGATGTCATAGAAGCCAACTTTTAATTATTTTCCAGGAACTAAATTGTCTAGAATTTCAGATCTAGGTTCACGTATGTAAATGCATTCATCTGCCTTCTGTACAGTATAACTTGAATGAGTTAAAACAATAATTCCCTGCAATCAAACTCAATGTCCGATGATTATATGGACCAGTGGTGAAATGTAAAATTTGTTACTACTGGTTCTGTGGGCATGGCTTGGTGGGGGGTAATGTGACTGAATGGGCGTGGCCAACTTTTTTTTTTTTTTTACTTTTAAAAGCATTTTTTCTACAACCTCTTCAGCCAAAGAGGTCGTTTTAAAAAATGCTTTTAAAAGCCTCTGACGATCCCAGCTGAGTTGCCTGATCGTCAAAGGCTTTTTTTCTTTTAAAAACATTTTTTTCTCCAATCTCTTCGGCTGAAGAGGTTATAAAAAAAATTCTTTTAAAAGCTTCTAACAATCAGGCAACTCAGCTGGGATCGTCAGAGGCTTTTTTTTTTTTTTACTTTTAAAAGCATTTTTTCTGCCGAAGAGGTTGTAGAAAAAATGCTTTTAAAAATATATAAAAAAGCCTCTGATGATCGCACGGCTCAGCTGGGCATGGGGGCGGGGCAGGGATTTTTGCTACCGGTTTTCCGAACCACCTGCCACCTTCACTACTGGATCGGGCGATCCGGTCCGAACTGGGAGCATTTCACCCCTGATATGGACCTATGGAATCCATGAAGTATTCCTGGCAGGAATGGGAGTCATTTGCTATTATCTTCTGGGATGTGTTGTTGATTGCCCTGGGATTTCCAGTAGTATCCCATCGAAACACTATGTAGATCTATCATTACATATTTTTTTTCAAGATCAGCCAAAATCAGATAAGAATTTGCAGCAGCCTTAACAAAATAAGTTAGCAGTTTAAAATTTTGCATTTTATATGTTCATACAATTTTTAAAAATGTATTTTTAGTTGTTTGACTAGGTAATGCCCTTTAAATGAAGTCCATAATATTAGATTACCATAAGGTTCAAACCATTCATGTCTTAGAAATGCTGCCTTCCCAAGTAAATAATATTAGAGATACTGCATTATCATAACTATCCATGTATATTTTTCTTTCTACAAGCAGTTAGATGGCCTTATGAGAACTTTGTACCTGAAAATCATAGTTCTCCAGCCGTGTAATAATAAACAAAGTTCAGTGGCAAAGTAAATTTAGTTTAGAATTAATTAACCTATTAATCTCACTCTCCTGTTTAAATAAATTAATTAAAGGAATTATGATCTCCAGTTGCTGGAATCTGCAAACTTTCTCCTCAAATAATAAGTGAGACTTAACAGCTCTAAAAAAAAGATTGCTTCTTTTGGGCTTTTTAAAATAGGAAGTTTGGGCTCTTGTTTTAAAGACTAGAGAGGACTACTTTGTACAAGTTTGCCACGGTGACTATTCTAAATATTTCAGTATTAAGTTACTATTACATTAGCAATATTAATTTAAGATATTAGTATGCTGTATTAATATTACACCATATCATTTATTAGTTGCATGAATAATTTAAGGAATTGCCATTGCTATAAAATTCTTAGAATGGCATTATGTTTAAGAATATTATATTAATAACCCATAAAAAGAAATGAGGCACACAGAATGGATAGCCATAAAGTTGGCAACAACTATAGAGCCATAAGGTTAAATTAAAGCAACTTATAATATGGAGCAAAATGCCTGAACAACTGGAGAACAGTACTGAGTTTGGCCTAAAAAGAATACAAAATAAATCTCAGCCATGTATCAAGTATCTTACACAGAAGTGCCATGGCAAAAGCTTCTTACAGTCATCACCCAAGTAACCTTGCATTGCCTGGGAAGGGTCCTTTGATGAAGATGGCAGCACTGAGCTTGGTGTTGCTCCTCGCTTGTCCTTGAGGGATAGACATATTCACTGCAGGGGACAGGACCAGAACAACATTAAACTACAAGACAGTTGTAGGCTAGGTATCAAGCTAGATATTAGGAGGGACTTCTTGACTGCCATATGAAAGTTTGAGTGCTTCTTCATCAGAAGTCTTTAGAGAGGCTAGATGATTATCTATGAGACATGCTTTACATGGAGAAATGGTTTTAGGTGAGATGACCTCTCCTTCAAACTAAACTAATTTCACTCTGTAAAATTCCAGGGCTGTAACTGGACTGAGAAGCTGAAAAACACTGATAGAAAGTAATGGCAAGTCACGTATCTATTCCTGTTTAGAAGTACATTTTCCTCAAGTGTTTGATTTCCTGTCTGTAAAAAACTGAATCAAGTCTCATTACTTTTCATTCCTAATTACTTGCGGTTTCACCACCTAAAAATGTTCCTTCTAAAGCATCTATGGTATCCCCCACTTGATTATTTCAATTTATTATTCCTTAACTAAGGCTGTATTATTGTTTTCCAAAGTCTCAGTCTTTTAAATAAGACATAAAATCAAAATCTGAATTAAACCAGAATTATTTTAAAAAAACAAAGCTGTAATTAGACTAATCAGCTAAGGGCTATTTTAAGAGGCTTGCTTAGTATCCTTTTAAAGAAAATTTGCAAGCCAATTAGGGTTTTAACAAATAATTGGAATATTCCAACATTCTGGGCATTCTTCTTGTTTATGGCAACAATAGTCACATTTCCTCTAATTACTTTTACCATGAGGATCCTAAATACGTAAAAAAAGTATACCTTCAGATAATCTGAATTTAGGCTATCAAAAATTAGCGCTCAGAATGAGAACCATTGAAATGTGCTAGGATAAATTAATATGGCCTATATTTTTAACTCTTTAATTTTTTTCCAGACTGGACACAAAGGCAACCCATCTATTATAATAAATATTATAATAATCAAATTTGGAGGCTATTACAATGCGTACCAGAGTTGCATAGTCATTTTCTTCTAGGAAATTATGGAATTGATGTATCAAATTGATAAAGGATACTTTTGATCATGGCTTCATTTTAGGAAAACAGAGACAGTTTGGATTCAGCAGTATTCCCACATATATTCTCATTTAGAATATATTCAGACCACTTCTGAATGGAACTGTCTTCCACCTCTCTGAAACTGTGACCTTTGACACTGAGCATCTTCAAACATTATTTGATGGTCAGTCTCTTCAGCTTTAAAGAAATAGATTTAGATCTCACCAAACACACAGAGGACCAACTCCATACTTCGTGATATTCATGTAGATACTGAAAAGAGACAAAATAGAGCACTCACAGACACCTTGCAACAACTCCATTTCTAGGAGCAATTCAAGCATCTTTAAGGAACACCATTTGAGATCAACCCGATGGAAGCCCATGTCAAGCAGTGCTTTTTATTCCTATTCTGACCCAGCCTTAGCAGAAACAAGAAACAGACTCCTTGTCACGAAAAAACTCTCTTTATTTATCTCCTGTGAATTAATGGCATTCACACACAGAAAAGTCCAGGCAATAGTCCTTCAAAGAGTTAACTGCAGTAACAGACCTTATCAGTTCCTTGCGATAATTGCCGCAAAGCTGCAAATTTAAGTTCTGGCAAGCTGTCGTTGAGGCACAAAACAAGCCAAATCTTCAGAAATCTGAACTGTTGTCTCCTATGACCACCACTCCCCTTTCCTTCTATTTATTCCCCAGTCAGGGAGTGGTCATTCAGAGTCCACGTGTGCCCTGCTTCCCAAGTCAACTCCTTGTCCTCAGTTGTTCTCCTCTCCTAACATCTCTGTGCATATGTGCATCTGGAACAGGCCCCAGCTGATCTTCCTCCCCACTTATCTCAGCCTCCAAAGGCAGCTGCCTCTCCGGTGGCTGGGAAATGTCGGATGGCCTTGGCTCTATCTCTGCATCCGATGCAGAGAATCCATCAGAGCCTTCCCCAGACTCCAGAGCTGGCCCAAGTTCCTCCCCAACCTCCTCATCGTCTGAGTCTGCTGCCAGCTCAGCTGGCAGCTGGTGGGCTACAACAATTCTCAGCTTTCCTAGGCAATCTAAAATTGATCAATGTATTGAAAGTTCCTGGGTATAATGGAACGTGTATATGACCTTCAGGAAAAAGACATGCTTGCTAGGAAACAATCAGACAAGAGAGGCAGGAGCCCCCAGTGACTTAACTGTCAAGAGAAAGAAACTTAGAAAGGACTGTTTCCAATGGTTAAGCAGTTAAAAGTGTTGGCAGGAAGTTTGTACTTTTAGACATGCAAGAATCTGTTAATGGAACCATATAAGCCTTAAAGTAGAATTAGTTTGTCTATTTGTGTTTCCTAACTGGTTTATCTGGGAGATCAAGAAGAACCAATAGTATCACATATCTGTCTAAAGAAGCTGCTTAACTAGTAGGCTAATAAGTCAGCATTAATCTGCATTCTCAGTCACTTTAGAGATTAACCTATAATTGGTAATCGCCAAAGGATACAAGTAGTCTAATCACTGCTGCTTTCTCCTCCTGGCAGACATTTATAATGATCTAATAATTCCTGACTATAAGCTACAAAACAATTTGAGCAAGGATTCAAGGACAAGTGGTTGATATATCTTTATTTTGTGCAACTCCCAATAGAATAGCTAATGTTCCCTGCTGTTTTCCCTATAACAACCTTGTGGATTGTTTGGGTTGAGAGAATGACTGTCCCAGAGTTACCAGCTACCGTGCCTAAGGGAGGACTAGAATTTGTGACATTCTGGTTTCCGGTCCAGCACCTTAACCTTTACACCAAATCATTCCAGCAAGTCCTGGATTCATGCCCTGTGTCATGAATTGAAATGCATCTAGAAAAGAAGCTATCAAGCAGCCCCATACTAATTCTGCATCTGTGGGGTCATCAAGAGTACCTCAAATATGCAAAATTTAAAAAAAAAACAGTAAAAGAATCACAATGAGCATCAGAATCCTGTAATCAACCTTTGAGACAAGGTGCCAGAGGGTCTCGTACACCCAAAGCAACTTAATAGGTGACTATCTTGAAGATGCACGATGTGCAGGCAAAAAAAAAAAAAACCTTTTCAGCTGCATATATCACCAGCTGGATTCAATAGCTTTTAGGGCAGGATCATCCCAACAGTTCCAGAGGCCTTAATTGAGATCTTGATCTTAAGATCATAGTGATCTGTCTTATGATAATGAGGGAAAATGAGACACTCCCATACGTGACATATTTCTATGATCAGAATGAAAGATCAAAGACAGAATCCATTTTCTGGGTTCACAAAATGGATTAAGCCACAAATCAGGCAAACAGACCAGATTTGCTCAACCAGTTTGTTAAAAAAAACCCAAAACCAAACTTATGATGTGCATTCAGACACTGGATTTTGAACTAACTCGATTAAGCATGGTTTATGAATGCAGCTGATATAAATGCACTAGTACAGTAGTTGCTTTGGCACTTAATTTACATTGTATCATTAAATATATACTGTCACACAACATCTATAAAGTGTAACATTTGGGGCATTGTTTTGCTCCTACTCCTTAGTCTTCCTTGTAGGAGTTTTTAAAAAATGATTTTTATTATATTGAAAAGATTTGATCACATGCTCACTAGATAGTGACAAGAATTAAGTCTTCAGATGATGAAGAAATTTTCCTGTCACACTTCCACGATGAATGTTGATGTCATCAAGATTGTTCCACTCAAGTAGCTCCTGATTTATTTGTTCTGCAAAATGAATTGATGTATTTTCTGTTATCTTCTCACTAGGCATCGCCAGATGGACCAGTTTGGTGTTGGTGGCTTATATCAGTCTTGCCCCTTGACCTGACCCACAAGTTGACCATTTTTTCTGAAACCTCCCTGAAGGCACGCCTCACCCAACTAAAGCATATTCTGAACATCATTCTGGAAAGTCGTGACTACAGCAACTAATACTCAGACTTGCCACACGGACGTTTTAGATAACATAGAAGGCAGGGAAGTGGGCACTTCCAGGGAACAAATGACAAACTGAAGATGGCTTGGCAAAAAAACAGAACTGACAACCATAGAGGAATGAACCGGCAAATAGACCAGCTCTTCATAATTCTTCTCCAGTCAAAGAGAGGATTTGAGATTGCTCACAAGTGCTCTATATCGTTGCTCCTCACAATGCCAATCTGGTGCCCTCCAGAGGTCCTGGGACTGCAATTCCTAGAACTTCTAGCCAGCATGGTTGACTGGGAAATTCTACAAGTTGTGATCCCAGCACATCAAGTGGATGCCAAGTTAGGGTGATCAAAGCCTTAACGTCTTTATGTCCTTTATTGTGATTATTTTGTTATTGTAAAACTGACTTCGGATATAGTCCTTGAATGAGGACTCTGAAACTGGTCTGCAGTTGTAGCAAATTTGCTACAATGGTATGTAGTAGTAGCAAGATTTTTTGAATGGGTTTTGGACTGACAGGGCTAAAAGGTTCAGTAGTAAGATGTGAATTGTATTCAGGTGAACATATTTCTAAGCACCTTACACCATGAGAATAGGAAATAAAACTACAAATGCTGGGACTTCTTGAGGAAATTTGCCTTATATCACATGTTGATGTTTGCATGGGACTCTTCAACATATTCTTCATAATGTATGATGTTCTTTCTTTCCAACTTAAGTAACTCACTGCTATTGATTGTAGGGTAAAAGCCAACTCAGAAATGAGGAACATGACAAAAGGGCTGATTTTCTTTCCTGCATTTTATTCTGATTGCTATTTAATGAAGAATTCCAAAAGGGATCAGATACAATGACGTATGCTGCTGAAGAAGGTAGATTAGAATACTTCTATATGATAAGAAAGATATAAAAGTTAGATTGGGATAGATAATGTGTAGTTATCCAGATGTTCGGCAAGTACAATGATTTCTTACCATTTGGAGAGCTATACTTTCCCACCAGTCTGAAGTAGACCGTTTTAAAGATTTAATTTATAGAAAATGCCTAAAGGGAAACCTGAAAATGAAAATGAAATTTTAGACAATTCTCATGGGGATGAAGTGAATAGCTAGAGGACTAACTACGACCTAAAATGTATAATTCAGGAATTAATCTAGGTTTCAAAACGCTAAAATGACAGAGTATTCAGCTGAACAAATCTGCTGCATAATTGTACATGCTGTTAGACAAATTACCATGAATATAAAAAGTTTGACATACATGTATATAATATGAACTGACCATGTACACCTAGGTTTAGTATAGGGAATATCTGAATAGTTCATGAAAGATCAATCATTTGTTAATGTTTAAGAAGTCATGGGATTTTTAAAACAACAGCTGCTAAACCGATTGGTTTGTAAAATTTGCCAAAGATTAGAATTATTTTTAGATAAAATATTTTTGTGCTCCAGCCTGAAGAATATGGATTCTGAGAATGAACAGCACAGTACAATATAATATAGGTAGCCCTTGATTTATGACCATAATTGGGACTGGAACTTCTCTTGCTAAGTGATGTGGTCATAAAATTACCCAATTTTATGACCTTTTTGCAGCAATTGTTAAAAGTATCCAGCTTCCTCCACTGACTTTGCTTACCAGAAGCTGATTGGGAGAGGTGCAAGTGCTGATCATATGACCTGATAAATAAATGCCGGCTCTCCAGCACCCAAATTACAATCATAAGACTGGGGAAACTAATGGTTATAATGTAAGGATCAGCTATAAACCACTTTTTTCAGTACAGTTGTAACTTCAGATGATTGCTAAAGGAATAGCCTTGGTGGCGCAGTGGACTAAAGTGCTGTTAAGTAGCACCAGCTGCCTGCAATTACTGCAAGTTCAAATCTCACCAGGCTCAAGGTTGACTCAGCCTTCCATCCTTTCGAGGTAGGTAAAATGAGGACCCGGATTGTGGGGGCAATAAGCTGATTTTGTATAAAAAAGAACACTGCTTAGGGAGGGCCGAAAGCCCTACTAAGCAGGTATATACAAAAGTATGAAGCCTATTGCTTAATGCATTGTAAGCTGCCCTGAGTCTCCAGAGAAGGGCGACATATAAATCGAACCAATAAATAAACAATAATAAATAGTTCTAAATTGAGGACTAACTATTCTTTTTTGGCAGATTTTAAACCTGCTGTGATATATAGCTGTGTTTGCTTTTAGTTGTATTTAAATTTGTACTCCTTATAACAATGTATTTACATAATTTAAAATTGGCTTGTCAAAAAGAATTAAATTAAATTAAATTACCTTATTATTTAAGATGCTCTTATCTTGTGCTTCTGCTGGTTTGACTGTTCAGTGGTTTAAGAAAATTCTGTCCAGACTCAGATACTTTGTCAACAAATTGCAAAGTATTCAATCTGGACTATAGGTTATCATGTCTTCCCATTGGACAATTCCTCTTGTGCCCTTCCACCTTTCCGTATCAGGTAAACGATGGCCAGTCATTTCCCTTTCTCTGGGTGGATCGTTTTAAAGAGATCAGTGGTGGGTTGCTACTGGTTTGCCCCAGATCGGGCAAACTGGTACCGGCGGTGGCGGGAGGCTCCGCCCATCTTCCCGGATGCTTCTGCACATGCAAAGAAGCGTTGGGCAAGTGTGAGCGCCCATGCATCCATGAGCAAACTGGTACTGACTGGTTTTGAAACCTTCCCCTGAAAGAGAGATATTAAAAATATATCTTGGAGAGATAGTTAAAAAGCTGGACTTGGACAGAGGAGAGCCAGGTTTAATCCTTCTTTAGGTATAAAAACTGTGTCAGTGTCTTTGGGCCAGTCCTGAGTGAGCTGACAGAAGTTGAAAACATTTATTTACCAATCCACAATGGCCAGTATGGTGACCAATAACCTTCAATGAAGAGACCCTCATTCTGTAGTGAATTGCTTTGGGATAATAATACACACACACACACACGCACACACAAACATCTTAAAACATAAAAGGAGGAAGGCTTTTACTCCAACCTCTGGCCTTGGCCTTGTAGGTTAATTTGGCTACTTAATTGCTGAGTGAGAAGGGTTTTTTTTTTTTTACTTCAAATGACAAATTAATGAAATGGTGGAATGAGAACGGATAAATAAATGGAAATGGGGAAAGCTTGGAAAAACCAAAAGCTTTTAAAAAGAGCAGTTTTCTTTGGGGTGTCAAACCAACTGAGTTAACAAGACAATTGTTTCACTGATTATACTGTAGTAACAGGATAAGAAGAAAGCTTTAAAAGCTATTAGAACTAATGCTAAGGATTGGTTCAATTGGAGAAATGGCCCTTCCTCTGCGGAGTATCCAGTTGACCTTCAGCTGCAGCAAAATAAAAGCATCTTGGCACAAATAGAAAGGAGCAATCGAACTGACATAGGGAGGAAAAATGTATATTATTTCACGTTTTTTTTTAAAAAAAATGTAAAGTTGGGAGGTAGGAATGGAAACAATATAATTTCTCCCATTAAGGTCTTTTGCTTGCCTTAAATTACCTTGCTGTTCTTCTGTGTACTACAAGGGAAGAGGAATTCAACTGTCAAATAGGGGCATTTTGTCCATATACTTTTCCCCATTTTTCATTTTTCTATATTTATTTGGAACCGTTGGGATAGATTATAAATGTTGAATGAAATTTAGGCTTAGTTTCTTTCAACCTTTATATCTTACCCTTAAGTCCTTATTTAGGGAAAGTAATAATAAAAGGCATCTGATATTTATAGGACATAATAGAGATTTAATAGCCCTTTGGGCTATTTTGTCATGTTACCACCAGCTGCTTATTTCTCTGCTTGCTTCCAAATGTCATCTTTATAAGCCAGCTGTGTTGAACTCATTCTTTTGTAAAGTGTGCCTCCTCAGAATAAGAAGCTTCTCTAACTTAAAGATATAAAATGATGTTGAAGGGGTGGAGCAAAATTGCATGTTTGCAATTTGCGCTTCTTCATGTGTTATGAAATAAAATACTGGTTGGAATTAAATACCCTTGTTTGCCTGGGCTGAAACATTGGTACCTGCGAATGTAGCACAATGATGATGAATGCAATCTCTTAACCATTCAAATTTTATAGCTCCTTGGACAATATATGTCTCTGGAATCCTGGATCCAGAAAATTCTGGCTTCCTCAGTAAATGGAGTGTGGGGGGGGGGCAATTATTTGTGTAAATATATACCAAATTTAGGAAAATACTTATCCTTGTAACATGTACTGTTGAAATAGAATTTAGGGGGCGGAGAAAAACCCTACTGATAACACACAAATTTTGCTTTGGTGTTGCTTGATGGCCAAGGTGATTTGAGGAGTTTAATTTTAAATTTTAAAAATTAGTAAGTTTTAGTAATTGGTATTACTTGAATTGCATAGGCAAATAAGCAAACCTTGGTTGTTTTGTTTATTCCACAGACTTCCTGGCCTTGCTTAGTTTTAAAACATAAGAATTTTGAAAAGTAAAAAAATTAGAGCAGTTGTCAAAAAAGCCAATTTAGCCCTAAGCTACATAAACAGAGGCATAGAATCAAGACCACATGAAATAGTCCAGTAGTCCAGTAGTCTGGACTACTGTAATGCTCTCTACATGGGGCTCCCTTTGAAGAGCACCCAGAGGCTCCAACTGGTCCAGAATGCGGCTGCGTGGGTGATTATGGGAGCGACACGGCGCTCCCATGTAAAACCTCTCCTGCGCGAGCTGCACTGGCTTCTGGTGGTCTTCTGGGTGCGATTCAAGGTGTTGGTTACCATCTTTAGAGTGCTCCATGGCTTAGGACCTGGATACTTATGAGATCGCCTTCTGCTACCGATAGCCTCCCAATGGCCAGTACCCTCCCACAGAGAGGGACTCCTCAGGGTGCCGTCGGTCAAACAATGTCAACTGGCGATCCCCAGGGGGAGAGCCTTCTCTGTGGGGGCACTTGCCCTCTGGAATGAATTGCCCCTGGAAATACGTATGATCCCTGACCTACGCACCTTTCACCGTGCCCTCAAGACGTTATTGTTCCAACAACCTGGGCTGGCCTAAACATTAATTTTAATGGGTTGTTTTAGTTTTTTAATGATATTGGGGCCAAATTATTTAATATGTTTTTTAAATTGCTTTTAATTTTATATGTGTGTTTGTTTTATTTCTTGGCTGTGCACTGCCCTGAGTCCTTCAGGAGAAGGGCGGTATAAAAATTAGATTAAATAAGTAAATAAATAAATAAATAAATAAATAAATAAATAAATAAATAAATAAAGTAAGTTAGTACTGCTTTATACCGCTTTGGTAAGAATACTGCATTGGTCACCACGTTATAAAAAAGATGTTGGGGCTATAGAAAGTGTACCAAAAAGAGCAACACAGATGATTAGGGGGCTAAAACGTGAAGAATGGCTGCAGAAATCGGGTTTGTCTAGTCTAGTGAAAAGAAGGCTTATGATAGCAATCTTATCTAAGGGACTCTCACAAAGAAGTGGGGTCAACATATTCTCTAACACACCTGAAGACAGGATAAAAAGTAAAAGACAAAAACTTATCAAGGAGAGATCCAACTTAGAATTAAGGAGAAAATTCCTGACAATAAGAACAATAAATCAGTGGGAGATTATCTCCAGAAGTTGCGGGTGGTCCATCACTGGAGGTGTTTAAGTAGAGATTGAACAATCATTTGTCCAAAATGGTATAGGGCAGTGATGGCTAACCTTTTCCGGACCGAGTGCTCAAAGCAGAAGCGCACACCCGTGAATGTGCGCATGCGTGCCTGAACCCCCAAAATGCAATGTGCGCACGGCCCCGTGCACATGCTACACTCCCTGCGCATGTGCATGCCCCCCTGCATGTGCACCACCACTTCCCGCACATGCGCACGCACCACCCACCCACACCCTACCCCCCTCGTGCATGCATGGCAGAAACCCGATGACCAGCTAGCTGTCAGGAGGCGCACGCGCTTGCGTGCTACATGTGGCACGTGTGCCATAGGTTCACCATCACGGGTATAGGGTTTCCCGCTTGAGCAGTGGGTTGGACTAGAACATTTCAAATGTTCCTTCCAATTCTGTTATTTTTATTTTGTCAAACTAATAAACTTCATTTGAGCAAACTATTGCTCAATACAGATGCACATCTGTATATTTGCAAATTGTATGCCTATGCATATATAAATTTAATAAAAACAAAAACAAACAAAACATACGAATTGTTTCAAGGCATTACTTTAGAAGAACGGTAATGCTCCTTTATTTATATATTAGCAGTGTTTTAATTATGACAAACAGCAAGAACATAGAAATCACTTTCTGCAGCATTTTCATATGGGAAGAAAACAAATGTAAATAGCATCGAGAAAAGAACTACAATACTAAATTAAATACGAATACAGGATCGTATTTTGGGGATTTATTTATGTTAGCTTTTGGCAATGAAAATTCTTTCCACTAGGTGTCAATATAAAACAAAGATGAACAGAGACAAAAACAAAGAAAAATTAAGTGTACTAGTAATCAAAGATCACGAAGCTCCTTCTAAGAGAGATAAGAGGAACTTGATGGTCTTCAAATGTTACAGTATTGCTCTTCTCACTTGCTTTCACCTTTGACTGCTGATTCAGGCAGATGTGATTGTTATTCAGCAACATTTGGAAGTCTTCAGATTCCACAGACATCAAAGCCTATGGCAATAATGCTGTCTGCAGGCCCTTAATTTAACAATTTGCAGTTATTTAATATTGAGTACTTAATGCAGTACAGGTAGTCCTTACTTAGTGATACTTATTCAGCATTTGTGATTTGCTTAACATCCACAACTGGAACTTCTGGTGTAAATTAGTCTGGTCGTGTGAATTTTCACGTTATGACTGTATTGCTTAGTGACTGAGTTCCTGGTCCCAATTATGGTTATTAGCTGAGGATTACTTGTACATCATACTTGGTTAGTTCTGGATTTAGCCATTCTTTGAATAAAGGCATTGAAACAAATGGGGGAAGTTAATTGTGACTGGGAATAGAGAAAGAATTTCATGTAGTTACTATTTTAATATGAGCTTGGATTTCAGAGGCATATATAGAGTGAAGCAGAGCAGACACTGCAGTGCAATGAAGTGCAGAATGAACCACGGTGAGTAGCCTGGTTCTTCAACACCTCTCTAGACAAGGACAGGACTTGAGATCACCCATACGTACTCCAGGCAGCTGGTTCTCATGATGAGACCACAAGATAGCGCTCTCTGAAAGGTTAAATGCTCTAGGAGGCAAGGGAATAGTTTTCCTCAAACTGCAGTCAGAACCTTTCAAACAACACTAACTTTG